TCATGGCAGGACCATGCACCATTTAGATCATCTCTAATAGATTTTTATTTAACCTGCTCTTAAATATCTCCAGCGATGGAGATTCCACAACCTCCCTAGGCAATTTATTCCTATGCTTAACCACCCTGACAGTTAGGAAGTTTTTCCAATTGGCTGTAACCGAACTTGAGAGATGGAGATCATGCTGGAAACGAGCAGGAAATTGCTTTGAAGGACCTGCTGTGCCCCTAGCACCACCCTCGGTGGACGGTGACTTAACTTCAGTCATCAAGACAGGCTGGAGTCTTTGGGTCCTTTTGAACACTTTGCTTCTTTTAGATGGCCAAATAGCTCTGACTGATAAATAAGCTCTCTTGCATTTCTAGCTGGCACTCTTATCAGTCCCTGATTTGCTAACCCAGTTCCACACATTCAAGATCTCTAGGTTTGATTATTGCAGTTCATTATATCTAAGAATGATACTGCCATCCTGAAAAAGCTCTAGTTGGTTCAGAATGCAGCTGCCTGCCTACTCAGCAACTCAGAACACGTAACCCAAAGTTCTCCTCTCTGCACTGGCTTTCAGATTCAAGGATTTGGTTAACCCTGGCAGATTGGATCCAGCCCAAGGGCTGGTATTTGCTCAGCCTTGATGTACACTCTAAGCAAGCTTGGGGGATGCACTTAGGACTCACTGTGTCTAGTCTGGCAAGTTTTTCCGCAAAAGCAAGTGCTTTTGCGGAAAAACTTGCCAGCTGTCTACACTGGCCACTTGAATTTCTGCAAGAACACTGATGATCTCATGTAAGCTTGTCAGTGTTCTTGTGGAAATGCTATGCTGCTCCCGTTCGGGCAAAAGCCCTTTTCGGAAATGCTTTTGTGCAAAAGGCCCAGTGTAGACAGCTGAAAACTGTTTTGCACAAAAAAGCCCCGATGGTGAAAATGACAATCGGGACTTTTTTGCGCAAAACCGCATCTAGATTGGCACGGACGCTTTTCTGCAAAAAGTGCTTTTGTGTAAAAGCGTCCATGCCAATCTAGACGCTCTTTTCAGCAAATGCTTTTAACGGAAAAACATTTCCGTTAAAAGCATTTGAGGAAAATCATGCCAGTCTAGACATAGCCACTTTGTGCGACTCTAACAACATCTCAATGCAAGAGCCTTATTGGTATCTGGTAGTAAGTTTCAATATACCTGACCAGTTCACTTGTATCATAACCAACTCACTAATATTATAACCTGCATCTAAAAAGTGCCATGTAAGATACCAATAGAAAGCTAATAATACAACAGTATTGTGAGGCGTATGTGAGCAGGACAAATTCAAAACTACAAACATATAGGAAAATATGTTGTCTGCCACCCCGGAACTAACGTTACTTCACCCTAGGCAAAGGAATGTGGTTCTGCTACCTTCAAGGTATTTCCAAGGTACATTATGAGATAATGGGATTGAATGACTAGATGTCAGGATTGTATCCTCAGCTGTGCCACTGATTGGTGTGTAATACTAGATATGTCATTTAACCTCTCCTGTGCCTCAATTTTCTCATCTGTAATACATCTGTCAGGGATGGTGTAGACGGAGCTTGATCCTGCCTTGAGGGCGGGGGGCTGGACTCGATGACCTCTCGAGGTCCCTTCCAGTCCTATTATTCTATGATTCTATGATCTCCTTCCTATTATTTATCATGTAAAAATCCACGCTCTTTCTATTTCTCTTGTTATCCAAACATAGCAGTTTTATATGATCATTAACATGTATAGATAATGTCACAAAGTAACAATGAACTGTTTTTGGGAACAGCCCCTTGCTAAAGCTACAATCTCTCATGCTTGCAGCTTCCTCAAGTTGTTTCTCAGTTTTGTCCTGTGATGTGTGCTCCTCGCACTCCTGTGTTCACCCAGTTTTGTGCTGCCTACCAGGGTTACCTCTAATTTTTTCAGTCCATGTGCACCGAAGCATGTGCCAATGTGCTCTACCAGTAGAAATAGATACTGCCCGCTGTGGGTGCTCTGCTAATCAGCTGGGCAGCACCTGTCTCTCTTCTGGGTGGCTGCCCAAATGCTCAGCTTACAGTGAACGCTGTCTACAGCTAGAGATGTGAATGGTTAACTGATATGCAGGTGATGCTCACTGATTAGTTAAATGGTGGGCCAGAGCAGTCCCCATCCGTGGCAGGCCCAGCCCGGGATGTCACAGGCAGGGGCACTCCAACCTGGCCAGAGCAGCCCCCATTCATGGCAGGGACCCCACTCCAGACTGCCTACCTACCCCATAACTGGTTAACTGATTAACTGGAATTATACAACCCTACCTACTACCTCATCTGCTGTTTGAGTGCATTAGGAAGACAGTGGAAGTGCACAAACAAAGAGACACTTTGGTCATCTGCCTTCTTAGCAGCTTCAGTTGAGGAGGGCTCTACCACACTTCATGCTGTTACTGTTGTAAATTAAGGAGAAATCAGGGGTTGCCCTTAGTGGGGTAGGAGAGCCTTAGGCATATGCAGCATACACAACTGCATAGGGCACTACTAAATTTGGGATTGTGCCCCAAAGGTAGTGGTGCTCTATGCTGAGTATGCGTAAGACTGTTGGGACATCAAGCAAGTAAGGCAGGCTGCACTCCATGGAGCAGAGCCATGTCTCTGGGAGGAGGGGACCTGGACAGGGCTGGGGGCTGAGGTCACAGCTAAGGGCAGGCATGGGACTGGGAGTGGGAAGTGGAGCTGGCAGCAGAGCCATGAGCAGCAGCCAGGACCCCAGATGCAGGGCTGATGGCTGAGGTCTCAGGTGCCAGTCAGGATAAGTGTGGGGCCAGCAGCAGAAACCATATGTAAAATGTGGGAGTGCTCCACTACTCCCTAATTCCTGCACCTATGCCTCTGTGCTCTGCTCCTGCCCACTGCAGCATGAGCACAGCCCCCAACCAAGTGGCTGTCCGTCCCTGCAGGGCACCATAAATGTTAAGGATAATCCTGGGAAAAGGGAAGGGAATTACAATGACCCCCACTTCCCCAACACAATTCCAGAAAATTTCCTGTTTTGCAGATCTTCACCACTGCTGTACACAGATGTCACTAATTTGGGTTTAGTTCACACACATTTCCAGGGAACTAGATGTCTGCTAATTCTTCTTGGTCTGCTGGCATCTTCTGGCTTTCACTATGACCTGCATTTCTGATGGATCAGCTTAGGACCTGTATCAGAAAAAGGTCTGGCTGACAATCAACAGGCAGAGAAACAGTATTTTCAGGAGAGAGCTCTAGCATTGTCTTATCTTATCTCCCGGTGATGTAAATATGAGAGTAATTTATGTGAGCATGATATAACAGCATTACGAGGGTGTCACATGATCATCACATGCTCTTTTTACTATGCACACAGCACGATTCAGCCTTAGTCATTTTCATCCAAAACACCATATGCCTTCCTCATCAAATGAGCACATGACTACCTGATCCCATGATGCACATAATTGTGTGCACACAACTCATATTACTATATTGGAAAGTCAGGTATTTATTATGTGGTTACCTAGAGAACAGTATTAGAGATGCAAAAATAACTTGTATTTCTGGGCTTGTATTTGTATTTATTTGTACCTCTGGACACCTTGCTCCATTCATCTGAAGAAGTGGGTTGTGCCCACGAAAGCTCATGACACTACCTACATTTTTTGTTAGTCTCTAAGGTGCTAAAGGACCATTTGTTTAAATTTTTTCAGTAAAGGTATATCAAAATAATGGTGAGCTGGAGGACTTCTTACTCCGACTCCTATAATCCTCATTTTATGAGGAGTAAAGTAAGTCAGAGGAAGAGTGCTCTGCCTCAGACTTCCTGCTGTGTATACAGCACCAAAAGGTGAAATAAGCTATTTTGACTTAATCTATGTAACTGATATAGCTGAAGTTGCATAGCTTATTTCAGCTTTAGCTTTGCTGTGTAGATGTGCCCTTACAGACTAACACGGCTACCTCTCTGAGTCTTTCACAGCTGAATAGTTAGAGACAGATAAATTGGGTCTCATGTAGGCTTATCAGTAAGTCTCTTCGACAAACCCTTATGTTAGATGGCCATCAGTTTCAGACAGGCAACATGCTGTATTCCAATGTTGTACTGCACTATAGTCATGTACATTTGTGGCTATATACAAATACTGCAAGACAAATAGTCATGCTCCTGTCTACACAACATGGATGTTGCCTATTTCCTGACACTACGTGGAGTTTGCCTGGTATCCCCAGTCTAGCTATAGTACATGATATTTCAGCCTCTACAGCAGTGCTGAACAGAGAGCATGAGTGACAGCCAATAAAGAATAGAAACAAGATTGTATGAATTTTTATATAGAAGACTGTTAGGGCTTTCTAGCTTCCAGGCTTTCACTCTTGCTTGTTCCCACTCCTCAGCGATCTACTCTCCGAAGGGCTGGCTCAGGAGGACACTGCTCCTATGTAATTTCCCTCAGGGCTGTGGGGATCCTGTCCTTACCTGATACCTGGCCCAGTGCTGTGGGGACCCTGAACAACTGTGGGGAGCCTGTCCCTACTAAATACCCACTTTGGGGCTGATGGGGCCTTGCCTAGTCTAGGCTCTTCCAGAACACCCAAACCCGCACAGTCATCGTCCCTCACAGCTGAGCAGCCCTACAGTCCGCCGCCCCGTGACTCAGCACAGATGCAGGCCACTGATTGGCCGGGTGCCGAGTTCGCGCTGTAGAATGCGCCAACGGAGAGCTAGGATTGGCCCGGGGTGCTGATGTCATCCCTAACCGCATGCGCCAGGCATGACGCGACAAAGACGGGATTGGCTGAACGGAGCGTGACGCGGTGGGAGGGTGGGATAAAAGAGCCGGCGCGGCGAGGGTAGGAGTGGTTGTCAGTGGCGGAGACGCAGTAGCCAGGACAGCGCGTGTGGTGAGTGCTCGGGGTGCGTCTAGGCGACCCGGTGCCTCTCGGATGTCATCCCTAACCGCATGCGCCAGGCATGACGCGACAAAGACGGGATTGGCTGAACGGAGCGTGACGCGGTGGGAGGGTGGGATAAAAGAGCCGGCGCGGCGAGGGTAGGAGTGGTTGTCAGTGGCGGAGACGCAGTAGCCAGGACAGCGCGTGTGGTGAGTGCTCGGGGTGCGTCTAGGCGACCCGGTGCCTCTCGCTGTTTCTATGGAAGCGGCTGGCTCCCCTCGGGCGGGGCCTGGCTGCAGCCTCCCTCCCCCTAGCCAGCAGGGAGGGATGGAGTGAGATGGGGCAGGGCGCTGGGGAGTCGAGCCGCGGGATCAGGGCGGGGCGAGAGGGCTCGTTCCTGCGGCCCACTTGCCCTGAGGAGGCGCTGGCCTGTCCGGCTCCATTCAGGTGTCTGGAGGCGGAGCTGGTGCCTTGGCCTGTCCCACTTGTGGCCAATGCCCTGTTGGTAGCTTGTGCTGCAGGGTGGGTGGTGATCCCCACCTCCTCTCAGTGCTAGAGCAGGCTGATCACTCCTCTAGCCCAGGGGTAGGGAGCCTGAGGCTTTGGGGCTGGGTATGGCCCTGGCTCACCTGGATCTGGCCCTAAGTCTCAACATGGCGTCCTGCCCCCGCACCTGTGCTGGTGCTTCAGTCCCCATCCCCCCTCCATGCCCTCACCATAGGGCTGGAGCACACACACAATCTACTATCCTGCTGCCCCTTGCCTCCGGTGTGTGAGGGCGTGTGGGACGTGTCGTTAGGCACATCAGTGAGGGTTGGGTTTTTTGCTTGCTTTTGTGTGGCCTCCAGCTGAGTTTTGAGAGTCAGTGGTCCCTGGCCCAAAAAACAGTTCTCCGCACTGATCTAGTCAAATACCTTGGCCTAGCTTTTTTTTTAAATCTAAAGATCAGTCCTGCAGAATGCTGTGATTACTGAGGCTGAGGTGGTGCTTGGTTGATGCAGCAATTAACTAAACTTCGATTTTATTTTATTTTGAAGATAACTGGTGCAGTAGCCAAGCAGCTTGAAGGATCTGCTATTATGGAGTTCCCAGACTTGGGCAAGCATTGTTCAGAAAAAACTTGCAAACAGCTGGGTAAGAAGTACTTCCAATGCAACTGCTGGTGTTGTTAGTAGACTGTAGTAGACTAAATTATCTGCTGTAGTCCAGTAGGTAATTGGGTTCCTGCAAAGCTAACCTCCATACACATAAGTGGTACACCTCAACTTCTGGAGACTTGCTGAATGAAAATCCAGATCTTCTTCTGACTGGTAGTGGTGCGCTGACACCATAAATGACAGTGGACTGTTTCAAAGCCTCCCGGAGGTGAAGGAGGAAGGGGGGGAGGGGGAAGTTTCCTGATTCAGAGAACTGGAATTTAGGGAACATGTCTTCACTGCCAGGACTAGAGGAATGTGGCTAGGCAGTATCTCTTAGTCTTATAAAATGAACTCATCAGTATTCTGAGAACTCTAGTATTGCACACCTTGTTTACTTAGACAGATGTTCCTCACAAACAAACAAATATTCCCAGCACTTCTTTGGGAACAACCGAAACCAAATACTGTAACGCTGGTTTAAAATATTATATTGTTGGGCCATTGGAGAAACAAGAGCAGAAAAGCCTGTATCTCAAGGCCTTAATATTTGAGGATGATTAAACTAATGTCTGGTCTCTATCACAGTAGTACAGGAAGAGACTTGAAACCTGCTGATAGTCGCTAGTACAGATCTTGGAGGAAAAGAGGAGCTAAATAAGCAAGTAGCTCTACTCTGTACAAACTGTCCTATAATAAACTATTGCAGATCTCAGATTCAGACTTCTAGGTGTCTAGAATTACAGCCAGAGCTGAAACAAACCAACCATCAATGAAACCTTAGAACTCAGAAGCATCTCAGGCTGTGGACTCTGGCAAAGTAGGTAGACAACATGTCTGTCAAAATATGTGGATTCCTTGATGTAATGCATGGACTCTCCTCTTATATGTAGGCCCAATTATTAATCCTAAGGATATCCAAGAATAACTGCAGATGCAAAAGCTACCGTTTTATAACCCCTCTCAGCCATTCACTCTAATAGCTGGGAGACTTTAATATTTGGGTATAATAAAATGTACTAAAGCAAATGTGATGTCTTGAGGCTTAGGTTTATCCTAGTGTATGTGGTGACTCTAATTATGCCCCCTAAACTGTTAGTGGCTGCTGTGGTTGAGAGGGGATACAGGGCAGTTTAACAGTTCTTGTAAGTTGTGGATTAATAGGTGGAAGGGAGGCAACCTTCTCAATTTCTAAGTAAGAAGCATCTCTTCCTGTTGCTCACCAAAAGATACATCTTGGTATGGCCTAAGCTAGCTTCATTTAGAAGTCTTATTCTGAATAGCCAGATGCCTGCTTGGATATTTGCATGAGGCATTAACTCACAATGACTGTTAGAGACAATTTAAAAATGTCTTCCCTGGCTGCATAGATTTTAATGTTGTCTGCTTCTTATAGATTTCCTTCCTTTAAAATGTGATGCATGTGAGGAAGTTTTCTGTAAAGATCACATCACCTATGACAAACACAAATGCACTTCTGCATACAAGAAGGTAAGTCTTACAGCAATACCAAATGCTTGCACTTTCTGGATTTTCTAACTGTTACGAAAGTAGTAAATGGATGTAAAATTCCATTCAATAGGTTAACCAGTTAAACAGATTTAACCAATCAACCAATTAAGGGGACAGGGGGCAAGAGGGGTTGCACGAGCCCAGTTAGAGGGCTCTCCTGTTGCAGGCAGGATGCCAGAGCAGCCCTCTTCCTGCAGCAGATGGGGAACTGCTCAAGCCCGCATGGCTTAACCTTAACCAGTAAGCCTCACCCATTCGGGGTGAAACTTACTGGCTAAACATTCACATCCCTAAATGAAAGCCAACTTTGAAATCTAAATAAGGGTTTGTGGCCTGCTTTACTTGCAGCAGGAGGCCCAGCAGGCTCAGATTAGTTTACAATTGAAATTTCAAGTCCAAATGGTACACTCCTAAGCTGGATCAAACATGATTCCATCATTCACTTAAATTGGGCTTCCATAAAGAGTGCAGATATAATACCTTGCTACTTGAGCAATGTAATGTCTGCCAGTTGAGGGTTCTTTCAGTTTTCTCCAATATTTTAACTTTATAGAGAATGACCTCTAACAGCAAACTACAGAACACTTGATGGGTGGAAAGTCTGATTAGTAATAACATTAGACCTATATAATGTGGATCAATATGAAAACTGGAGTTTGAGACTTCAGGAGGTCTGCATTGCTAGAAAGCCAACAAAGTTACAGTACAGAAATACAGCCTTGTTTAGGTTCAGAATGACTTGACAAAATTCACCTAATGTAGCTAAGGAACGTGCTGTCTTCAAATACTTGTTCTTCTGTATTCCTTGTTCTAGTCGCTTCTGAATAGAACAGCGGTGGGCAGCCTGTGGGCCCCATACAGCCCATTGTGGTTCTGCAGCTAATCAAACACTGTTAGGGTTCACTCAGCACATCCCATAAACATAGGTGTGCACAGCACATTTCATTAGGGTGTGCACCCAAAGAATTTTTTTTAAAATGTACTTTGACCCCCATTAGCCACACCCCCTGACACCCATTAGCCACACCTCTGGGGGTAATACTTTTGGGGCAATATTGGCACATGACCAGAAATAAAAGGTGTCATGTGACTCCCCTGGGGACTCTGCTTTGTTAAACTTTAACAAATACATTTGCCAAACTTTCTCCATTTAATGTAATTCACTAAGCAGGAGCCAAATGTTAGAACCTTGACTTCATCCTAACAGTCTTTGACATTGCTGCTGGCTTTAGCATCAGTTTATATGTTCCCAGGGGTGGACTGGTAATCATAATAGGCCCGGGAAATGCACTGAGAACAGCCCACTTTTTCACATCAAATAATGTTTTTTAAATTTACTCTTTGACCCCCATTAGCCACACCCCTGACCTCTGTTAACCACGCCCCTGACTCCCATTAGCCAGGCCTATGGAGGTAACACTCTCTGGGCAAGATGGACACATGACCAGAAGTAAAAGGTGTCATGTGACCCCTCTCTAAGGACTTTTCCCACCAACCTCCTACCAATAGGGATTAGTTTAGTCCCTTCCAAACCCCCCTCATGCAACTATCTTGCAATTGCATTAACACAATGTGTGTACATTAACTCAGGGGGTGGAGAGGCTGTGGGAAGTGTCCCCTCTTAGTTTCCTTCCATGAGCACAATACATTTTGTGTTGTGCACCAGTACTGAGTTTGGCTTGTTTGGATGTGCCCCTGTGGCACCCAAGTTATTAATAAATATTTTTAAACCTTTACCTTTTCTCTCTGCTGCCATGTCTCCTCCCCTTGTTCCA